GTATAGTATATTAAATATTCTCTCTTATTTTTTTAAAATGTTTTATCAACTATTTGTCTAATAAATTGTTAAAATATTGCAACACCGACATATAGGAATTTTCTTGAAGCAAATCATTACAAATAAATTAATCAAATTAAGAATAGTCTGGATTAGTGGAGAAAAATAAGTTACATATTAATTAATCATAAAGAATAAAATAATATAAATTTTTTCATATGCAACCGACATAATGTGCATATAACTATGTGTGAGGTGTACCATTTGTATGCAAGAAATAATAAATGTGTGTTGAGTGTGCGATCAAATAAAAGAAAACAAAAAGTGAGTTGTTAGTGGCGTGTGTGCAATGAGTGAATTGTGGTTAGTGGCGTGTAGGGCTGCAAACAAACCGAGCTGAGTCGAGCATTAGCCTTATCGAGCGGATTGAATTTTTTTTTAGGTGCTCGAGTTCGACTCGATCAAAACATACAAGAGCTCGAGCTCGACTCAAATTCATAATGTTCGAGCTCGGCTCGAGTTCAGCTCGAATTTTTTCAAGAAATTTTGTAAAATAACCATTAATTATATATACATACAATGGTATTTTAGTAATTTCATATATCTCGATCCGCTCGACAATGCAATATATGGGCTCGAGCTCGACTCCAGATCGGTCAAACTCGAGCTCGAGTCAAGCTTTGACTCGAGCGCTCGCGAGCGGCTCGCGAGCTGCTCGACTCGTTTGCAGCCCTAGTGGCGTGTGTGCAATGAGTGAATTGTAAGAGTGTTACTGTATTATAATAATATTGAGTGTACTTGAGAGTGGGAGAGATTATAATAAAATAATTAGTGTGTATTTTTTGTCTAAAACTGAACCGAAATACATGATTTATTCGGTCGGTTAACCATATTATCGTAATTATTATAAATCATTTATTTGTTTATATTATAAAAATTATTTAATATTTGAATAATTTTATTTAATATTTTTACATTAGTTTTTATTGTAAATACCTAATATATGAAATACCCAAATTAATGATGATTTACAAAAAAAAGGGTAAATTGCGCCAAACCCCCCTGTATTATACGAAATCTGTGCGTTATCCCCCTGTATTTTAAAAATTGCGCCATACCCCCTTGTATTATACTTTTGATTGCGCGTTATCCCCTAAACCGTCTAACTTGACGGATGTGCATTTCACGCGCGTGTGGTGCGACTTTTTCTCCATTTTTCCGCCATAAACTCAGAAAAACGTGGCTCATTAATAAGAGGTGGGACACGTGTCAAAAGCAGAGGCTAGCACCTTCTTTTTATAGATAACTATATTATTATTACTAGATGGGTTTACGCCGTGCACGCACGGCGGTCTAACACCCGGTGTAAAAATACACATACACACTTTTTATTAATACAGAAAATATGTGTTTTAAGATTGCATTGGGTTACAATTGTTTTTTTGTTGGAATAACCTATGTTGATGCGAAAATGTGACAACTGTGGTTACTTGTGGCTAATACAACATTATTCACTATTGGCAATTATCCCCAAAAAATAGCATAGAATTTCTTAAAAGAAAAACAAACAACAGATTCAGATATCCAAACAATCAAATCGCAATCGAAAATCTTGAAATAACTCAAACCCTCCGAGATTCTTTGTTTAAAAACTACCCAAAGTACTCGATTTAAGAATTGCAAGGGTCATAACGAAAAATGTTAACTGGCCTATACCCATCCCTTCTCATCTTCAAACCTAGAAAACAAATTATTAAATAAACCAAAAACATTTTTTTACCTCCAGTGTAGTTCAGGATCCAAAATCTCTGTCTAAGGGTAAGAGGGTTCATCAATGTTATGATGTTGCGTCACTAGCAGCTCAAAATTCCACAGCCTACCGCATCCTGTGGCAGGATGAATTGAAATTATTGCTCTCCAAGTTAGCAAAAAAATTTTGATTCTTAGTATGAATCCTGTCATAGAAAAGAGTAAACACAAATTAAATATGATGTGAAATCTAAAAACTGGTTAGTATACAATCAGTTACTACATGTTTATCATTAACTAATACACGGTCCAAAAAACGCAAGACAAAATACCTTCAAGTTTCAGTATTAAGGTGTCAAGTGATACAAAATGACATCGAACTTTAATTTGTTACCGCCGAGATATAAAGCATAATAAATCCTCTCTTCCTCGAAGAAAACTATTTGCTATAATTAGTAATGAGAATGAGAATAGTACTCGTCCAAACACACTCCTTTCTTGGTGGTCAATCGTTCCAATGATAAATAAATATTCATGCTTGAAAGATGTTAGGTATTCCAGGAGAAAATTAACTTTAACCATCGTATATACTTATAGGATTGTTTTCTCACCATTTTCTGAAAAGTTATCAGAATATTTTTTTTCTTTAATCCTGAAAAAAACAGAGGACAATATCAATCAACAGAAATTAAAAATATAATTCCCCCCCCCCCCAAGAAATCCTACAATCTTTTAATACACCAATAAAAAGTCACCACAAAATTGGTTGTGCAAATACTTTTCTTCCCATACTACTTTGTATAAAGAAAAAAAAAGTTTCTCCAAAATAAACGAAAAATGGGTTCAGATACAATCTAAGATGATGATACTCTTACCAACCAATGCCAACCACCAGGCCCAACAGCCTTTTCCACAACCCCCAGTAGACCAACCAAAACACTCTTTGTTCTGTTATTACCAATCATAACAACCTTTGTATGCCTTGAAAGAACGGACAATTCTTTGTCACCACTTTCCTCACAAAAAGGAGTCAAAACCTTGGAAAGGCACGATTCTGCTGCAAGTAATTTGGTTTCATTACTACAAATTACTATAAAAATAGATAGTTTTAAACAATTAATTATTCTAAAATATAATATCAAGCAAGTAAGTAAATATTTCCTCAAGGTATTCTAAAGACAACACCAAGACGGATTCCAAATTTACTCAGTACTATAGATAGAAGCAGTACCATACTCAGAAGCACATAAAGATTCACCATGTTCCTCAAAGTACTCGATACAACGGTCCAAGAATTATTTAAAGAAAATAACAAAACAATAGAACTTACTTAACACCACATGAACAACATTAATCTTATATAAAGAAGATATCAGCTCGCCAAGAAAGTACAATCAGTATTCATACCAAGATAAATTTTTCATACCATCAGTTGTCAGTCACAACTCTTTCATATTTCATATCTGGGTGTTTTTGTGCGACCTTGCGACAACACTCCAGCATGAGAGAGAAAATGACAGCCGAAACGATAAGGTAAAATTATCAATTTTGAACGATATTAATAAAAAGCAAACCACATGAATAGACCATCAGTTTTCTACATGATATTGTCGAAGCGGTGTCAATCGTACTTTGCGGCAGTGGTGGACTGGCTTTGGTGCTCTTTGTTCAGACGCGACTGATTTCTTCATCCTCCTTCTTCTTCTCATACGCCTTCTTCCAATTCTTCATCTTCATCCTCTGAATCATGAATACCGAGGAACTGATCAAGAAACTGAGATCTCCAAAACATGAGCCTATTTTCTCTAGCCTTTTTCCTTCCTCCGGTAGCCACTTTATGTGCTTCGTTAGCCTTCTTTCTCCGCGCCTCTACCTTCTTCAAAGCCTCCTCGTCTTTCTTATGCTCCAACTCGGCTTTCTTTTTCTCCAAATATATTGTTTCCCTCTAAATCTCTAGAAGTTCCTTCAGTTGATTAATCTATTTGTCAGCTGAATTAAAATGTTTTTGACTCTTCTTAGCTGCATGTGGAGAAGCATAATTATGACTCTTCTTCAGTGATTGTTTCTCTTCCTTTAGAGCACACATTTCATCCTCAAGATCAACACGACAAACAAACTATTTCTTTTGTATCTTTCCATATATTAACTTGCAATTTGAATTCCTTCAATGTTGTCTAAGGAAAATACATTAAAGAATAAATTTAGGTTCATCCTCCAACGACCATTTAGAAAATGCCTATCCACACGAAAACACACACACAAAAAAAAAAAAAACCAAAACAACACGAACTTTTAAGGATGAAGTCTAACTATTCTTCCTTACTAACCAGGCAATAATAAGAATGAGTAATAACATGAAGAAATTTGGAAAAAAATTATGAATAATGCAATATTAACCTTTTCTGGGAACTCCATTCTTTCTCAATCACATCGCATTTTTCCTGTACCAACGTGGTGTAGCTGCGAAACTTGTTCTTAATCACTTCAGGCTTCTAATCCTTTCCAATAGCTTCTAATACCTCTCCAAAAGCTAGCTTCACGTGCTTCCTTTTCAACTGCAACAAACCAAAATACACCAAAAATCCCATCATGATTCTACAACTCCTTCGATATTGCTCTACTACACAAATGAATGAAAAACACAACAGCAACAAATAAAAAACCATAAACCTGCCCCATCATTGGATATTTCGTCTTGCACCACCATCACATCCTCTGTCGGAAAGGACCTATATACGGGGACACATTAAATTACCTTATTTCAAAAAGTCCTGGACACAAAAAATAAAGTACATGTTGATGATATAATTAAATATTGATAAGAACATAAAATCAGAAATGATTGAAAGAACAAACTAACCTAACCTTTATGTTCTGTGAAAAAAAAAATGTGCCTGCACGATATGCCTTGTTGTTTTATCAAGCCTCTTGAATTTGATGCCCTGTGGTACATACCCTACAAATCATCCAACAATAGCTAAAAAAGGAAAATAGTTAAAATCGGGTCTGTCAGCTACACATTGTCAAAACAACCAGCGTCGGGTACGTGACGACGGTGAAGGCGAAGAACTCGTCGAGCTTCGCGGCACCGCGGTCAGTAGGCATAGGGCCGGATTTAAAAATCAATTGAAAAATATGAATAAAAAAGTGATACATAGAAAAAAATAACATATTAACGCAACAAGTACCCCTTTAAGATAGCGGCGACCCTGAACCAATTAAATTGCGCTCAGTTAACGGCGAAGCTCTTTATGCACGGCGTGGCACAGTGGATTCCCTTCATGCCATACAATCGTGCGCCTTCAAGCTCTTCAACTGTCATCCCTTTGCCATGTCCTAGACTGCTCCAATTTCTCCACAAGGACGTGCGACGGACTCCCACAGAAAGCGCCCCTACTGTGCCGACTGTGCCACCTCTTCCTTCTCCATCGGCCCTGTCCCCTCCACAGAGAGCAAGTTTCGAGCCGTTTATGACTCACCTAGATTTTGAAGACATTGTAGAAGAGCGTTATGTTGAATCAAGTTGAGGATCTATGATTCCATTGATTTTTCTGCAGAAGACGACGAAGGATAGAGAGAGGAATAATCAATTTGCCTAGGGATTTGAAGGGAAACGAACGAAAAAATAGCAGACCCTAAATTCTACAGTCTGTTTATATCGTGCAAAAAGTGGATTCAAATACACCGTACC